GGGAAAGTGCGCGGCGAGTCCCGGGCTACTAGGGGAGGCGGGGGAACGGGCCAAGCCCTTGCTGTCTGCTCTCTGCCTCAGGAATCTGCAGGGTCCCTCCTCACTTCTTTTTTTTTTTTCCATGTGCCTTTTATTTATTTTTTAAAATTGTTTAAAGTATTACAAATAGTAGTACATATATCTCCTTTTTTCCCCCCATTGACCTTCCCCCAGCCTCCCCTACCCCCTGGAACATGCCCCCCCCCCCCCCCCCCCCAGTGTCTTGTGTCCATGGGTTGTGCTTATATGCATGCATACAAGTCCTGCGGTTGGGGAGGGGGTGGAAAGAGATCAACCTCCTCACTTCTTTTACTTCTCTGTCTCAAGTCCCCTCCTGACTTCCTCTCCACTTCCCTTCTCCCTTTTATATTCATGGGGCCTGTACCACACACACACACACACCCTGCATATAACAGAATAACAGCTTAATGAAGAGAGGGGTCTGTTCTTTTCACTGCTTTATCCTCACTGCCTAAAAAAAAATAAAAAAATGCTTGAGTATGTGTTTAAAGCATTAAGGACCATTCCTTACCCTAACTACTCTCAATCATCCTTTGAGTTTTGAGTTTATCCTCTCGAGACCTTCACTTCTGGTGCTTACTGGCAGTTTAACATGGGAGTTGAGGAAAGCAGCTCCTTGGTTCAGACCGCAGTGCTGCTGCCTCTAACTCTGGGGCCTGGGGAGATTTCTGTAGTGCATGCTGTGCCGTGCCTCCCAGATTTCCCCCTTAAGACCAAGCCTTTGCCTCCAGTCGGATAACTGAATAGCTCCCCCAGCTCCTGAGCCTCTCAGAGGATTGTGGCTAAGCTGCTTCTCTGCCCATCCTTCTTGCCTCTCACGCTCCCGGGACTTGTTTGAGAACATTCCTGATAAAATCCTGCACACAGATCTCTGCCTCCGAGTCTGTTTCCAGGGGAACCCAACATAAGGTAGTTGGACCAGGAACGTCTGGGAGCAGTCTCTCTGAGGGACTCTGAGAGCTGGACTCCCACTGGCTCATCGCTGGAGGCACAGCAGCCCTGGTGCTGTAGCAGGGGTGAGCCGGCAACACAGGGGTGGGTGCAGTGTCGCAGGCCTTGCAGAGGTTGGGGAAAGCAGTGATTATTTGGACTATGGGATCAGGTTGCTCTTGCTGAGGGCAAGGCAATGGAAAAAAAATCACTAATCTAACAAAAAATATGACAGAAAGAGGGCTTTCCTAGTACCATGTAAAGACACTCTCATCTCCTGCAAGGGGGGGTGAGGGGGGGGCGGGGAGCCATGGATCAGAGCCAGGACTTAATCATGAAGATTGAGAGAAGGTTGATTGCTCAACCCAAGGAAGGTTGCTGTACTGAGGTCAGGACCCTGGTTGGGAAGAAGGGAGTCCTTGAGGCTTGGGGGAACAACCTCTGGATTAATGCACTCAAAAATCTTGAACCCCAGGTTTTCTGAATCTTCTGGACCTGGAGAGGTGTCCCACTTCTCCCTGTTAAGGCAAGTGCTCTCCATGCTTAAAGATGATACAGAGGCTTCTGCAAAGCAATACAGACACCCCAGTGGTCTGCCTCCAACTCACTCCTCCACAACATTTGCATCACCCAGCTGGAAAAGTGCTGGGCCTGACGAGGGAGCTTCAGGGTCTATGAAACCTATGCCAGAGGGAGCTGGAGAGTAAATGCAAAGCTCAATCCAGAGAAAGTTGGACTTAGGGGAGGCATAACATAAAGATAGATCAGGTTAGAGTTGATTGATATGGGATTATTCAACCCTGGTACAGAACTTGGCACCCTGGCAAAGACCATGTGGAAGCTTGTAGAAAGTGATGTCCCACACTAAATAGAGTGGAAATGCCAAATGGGCATAGCACACAGCAGAGGATGGCATCCAAATGCTCTGAGAAGTGACACAGGAGAGTAAATATGCTCCATAAAATAGGAAAACCTGTTGCTGACCTGGAAAGTCCAGAGGACACTGTTTACAAAAGTGATGATGAATGTGCTAGTGAGATCCTCAGCAGGGGTGGGCCACTGTAGGACTGGGCTGGGAGCAGTGGTGCTGTTACAGGGTGTGCTGGGCACCCTGATAGCAATGAGGATGATCCGATAGGGACATAATAGAGGCAAGATGGTAACAATTTAGCCATCAGAAGCAAGGCAGGTGCAATTACCATAGTGAGCAGCAAGACTGGAGCGGCAGCCTGCGCACCCCGAACTGCAAAGAGCTATAGAAATGGTCAGCCGAACACAGCATCAGGGGCAGGACAAATAGCCAGCCAACCGGTATATTGTTCAAGGTATACAATCAAAGGAAATCAATGAATGGGAGCAGGAGACTGAAGAAAGTTGCCCCAATAAAATGTCACCATCTCTTGTCCAATTTCCAGACATGAGCCAGTTCTCATCCCCAGAACCCACTGACTGAAGGAGAGGACCTAACTACAACTGTAAATGGTAAGGACTCCCCTAGGACTTCGCCCAGGTAGGAAAGGAAAACACCTAGATATTTTGAGGGCTTTGGGGCTCAGGGTCTGACTCAACATTTGGTACCCAGGGGCCTGAAGAGTCCTATGCTCCTATTAGAGTGGGATTTGTGAGGTTGGGAAAATAAATGAAGTCCTGGCCCAGAGGTGGCTCCCAGTGGGATTATTGGAACCATTGACCCACCGAGTGCTCATTTCCCCTGGCATTTAAGGTAACATGGGTATGGATGTACGTGACAGTTGTCAGAACACCTACATTGGCTTCTTTGCACGTGGGTTCAGCGTCATCCCAGCAGGGAAAGCCAAGTGGGGTGCCAAGATGGAAAATCAAAAACAATAACACATCCTGGAGGAAAGTCAGAGATCAAGACTATCCTAAAAGGTCCTTTCATTCACCAGTCCCGCCTCTGATATCAGATATGTCCTAGAGGATGACAGTGGACCGCCACAAGCTAAACCACACAGTTGCCCCAACGGTAGCTGCAGTGCCAGCTGTGGGCCACTGCCAAGCCACATCAGCACAGCCTCTGGTCCATGGTGTGTGGCCGTGCAGCTGACAAATGCACTCTTCTCCAACCCTAAAAAGAAGGCAGCTTACATCATATGGCATAGACTCTAGCACATACACTCTTGCCCCCCTCCACCCCCCAGGCTTTCCTGCCCTCTGTTAGAATACACTGTAGAGACCTGGACCATCTGGACAGTTTGCAGAACATCAATTTGGATCACTACATTGATGATATTTTAATCAGGTAGATGAGCTAGAAGTTGGCAATTCATGGGAGGCTTTGGTAAGACATGTGCTCAGAGAGTAGGAAATAAATGTATGAAGATTCAGGAGATCCCCACATGAGTGGGGCAAGATGTTCATGAGCCTGGGCTTCTCTTTCCCTTTAAGAAGCACAGAGGCCTGCACAGCATACTTCCGGGATTCCTTCCTTAACAAAACTCAACTCCACAGAACTATGCAAGCACCATGCCTTCTCAAATCTGTGCTCTGTACAAAGGAATTGATCATTAGTTTTCTAAATTAGGATCTATTCCCTAAGATAGTGGTTCTCAACCTTCTGGCCCTTTAAATACAGTTCCTCATGTTGTGACCCAACCATAAAATTATTTTCGTTGCTACTTCATAACTGTAAGGTTGCTACTGTTGTGAATCATAATGTAAATATCTGATATGCAGGATGGTCTTAGGCGACCCCTGTGAAAGGGTCATTCGACCACCAAAAGGGTTGCGACCCACAGGTTGAGAACCGCTGCTAAGAGGTGTGATAATAAGAGACAGGAAAATATTGAAAGATGAAAGGAAAAGGGGATGACTTCATAGAAAGTATCTGTAATCTCTTTTGTTTATAACTCAGTTACATTTTTCTCTCTTTGATAGAATTCTCTTCTGTACGCCCCAAAAATATTTCTTGAGTAGTGCCAATCTATCAGCAAGTGGATATTTATTTATTATTAAGACAGCATCATTAGATCATTTACAGTGGGGCCTTGACTTACGAGTGTCCCGGCTAACGAGTTTTTTGAGATACCAGCTGTCTCTCCACAGATTTTTTGCATTGAGTTGATAGAGTAATTTGAGTTAACGAGCTCCTTAACGAGCTCCTTAACGAGCTCGGTCTCAGAACGAATTAAACTCGTAAGTCAAGGCCCCACTGTATTATGAATATCAGATCAACCTACTTTCAAAGGATTTGAAGTGACATAAAATTAAATGACCAGTATTTAATAAAATAATTTTGAAAGAGTACAACAAAAGCATTGAAGGAAGACATTTTCGTATTAAACATCTATGGTAAAAACAGCAACTGCAATGAATATCTGCGCTCAGCTTTGAGTTTCCTAATAGTCAAGGTGAAAAGGGAAAGATGGAAATATGGTATCTTACACACGTTATATTATCTAATAAAAAGAAATGTATCAGTTTTTCAGAAAAGACAGTATTTTGGCCTATGAAGCAATATGAGAAATTTTTAGATAACTTTTTCATTAAAGATATTCAACAAGTTAGGGAAAGATGTTTTCAATCTCAAATGACTAACCTTTGCTGATATGCTCCCTACAGTGCCTGACACATTGTAAAAGCTCAACTTTTAAAAGTTGGGAATTATGCTAAATCATAATCCTGATAAAATTTATTCAGGCACTTGGGAGTCAAAGAATGTAGCTTCTTAGTAACCCGATAGGCTTTAGAGAAAACATTTAGAGAATCTAGAAAAATGAGTAAAAACC